ACATTCATTCCATCCCAGTACTCTGAGCATCACAGTGACATTCCCAATCTCTCCACGGGTTGATCCTACAGTGGGTCCATTTCCTACCACATTGATAAATGGGTGGTATTATTTTAAATGGATGAACTCATGGGTGTCTGTTGGATTCTGTGTATTCACACACCCAGTGAGGGAGAAATCTTTGTTTTCTTTATGCTGCAAACAGAATCCATTGATACATCCTTCTTTGTTAAGTGTTAGCTCCATGTGAGCTTTTTGTATCTCCTTCAAGATTCCATTCAGTTCTCAGATAAGAGCACTCATTAGCCATCATAGCATGGAGCACAGGAGAGATGCTCAGTGCCTTCTCAACCAATCAGTCAAGAGATGGACAAGTGAAGGATGCCACACACTTTCTTGGGGATTCTGCCTATATGCCCTCTCTTGGTCTCTTATGGCTTCCTTCAGGTGGGATATTAATTCTAGAATGAGAAATGTCTTTCTTTCTCAAAGGGGGATTGAAAGGCTTTAAATCAAGAGCCAAGAAGATTCAAGGTTAAGTAGCAGCTTACATCCCAAGCAGTGCTGATCTTCCTGTCTTTTTATGTGCAGACAAGAACTGAGGGCCTCATGCAGGGATTGGTAAATTTGGACTTAGCCTTACTATGAAGAGACAAAGAAAAACAGAAAGGGTGGACTCTGAATGGAAACAAGCTGGACTGTCACACCATTAACTATGTGCACTTGAGTACAAGTAGCCAGCCACAGTCATTTTCCCTCTCTGTACAATAGACATTGCTCCATCAACCAAAACATAGCTCTGGTGCTGAAGAGGAGATGTGATTTCAAGGCCTCATTTTATGAGTGATTCAGATATACAACCTTACACAGAAATCATTTAATACTGTGGGTTCCCCAGTTTTCTTTCAGCTCTGAGATTTTGGGGTGAACAGCAAATTGGAAGAACCCTTTTCATGTGCTAGGAATTCTAGAGAGAGCCATGTATTGGACTTGCTGGGTTTGTCAGACAACAGGCTTGAAATGTCTGCACTCACTATATTACCCATCTCTCTTTTCTACACAAATGGTCTGGGGGTGTCTGGAGAGAGAGAGAGAGAAAGAGAGAGAGAGAGAGAGAGAGAGGGAGGG